CACGCCCTCGTAAAAATTGTAGAACAACAGGAAAAGACCATAAATCATGATAAATACGCACGTGTTGGCTCTCGTGTAGGACTAAACGAAAACTATTAACACTCGCTGGGTGCGACAGTACGGTACAGGCCTCATAAATATACCCCGAGTTACGAAAAAGGGTCGACCATGGGGGGAACTTTGAAATTTACACTGTTGTATCGTAACGAGGGATCGCGGATAATCTCACTCCATTTTGCATATGTACGCATTCTACACGCTTCAGAGTCACCTTTTCCATCCTTCTCTCCATCTCTCATTCGTCATTTTCCATTTTCGAAATTCTCAAATATCAAATTGACAATTTACTAGATTACACTAAGAAAAAAATTTATTTACCCAATTATATTTACCAACGATAAGAAATCAAGACAAGATTGTTGGCTGAAGAAATCGTTTCTCAGTGCACTTAATTATTAATTAATTAAAAACCTTTGTTAATCTCAAAGTTTCGGAAAGAAGAATATTTTAATTGAATTGATTGAATAACCAGAATAGGCCGAAATTTCGAAGGCTCTATTTGATATTGGAATGCATTAATGAAAAGTGGGGGAGGCAAATAGCTTCGGCCCCTCTTGCAAAATAATAGAAATCCTTGGTCAATGGTATAAAGGATCACATCTGCACTGCGATCCCTATTTTTATTAATTCACTAGTTTAATTCATCGAGCAGAGGGGTGGGTGGTATTGCCTAATTGCTCATGTACTCCCTCAACTCGACAGGTGCATCCGTAATAGAGTATAGTAATGAATTGAACAATGAAATAAAAAAACTAGTCATAGAATATTTCATCAGTGACTCTATATTAATTCAATTGAGTCAATTAAATCATCGGATTGAATCGGGAGATTAAAGAGGGTGTGATGAGCATATGTACTGGCGTTGAAAAGACTAGCCACCCGTATGCATTTTCATCGTCTCACTGACTCAGTGGTAAAAAAAAAAAATCAAGGATTCTAGTTTGACATTCAGATCGGAGCATTGAGTTGCTGCCACTCGACGCTGAAAATAAAAAGAGACATCGAGGGAGAGATAGAGAAAAGCTGCCCCGTCGTGTCGTGTGTACCAACAGGCTAAATGTGTTTCACAGATGACCGCCTCTCCTCAATGCACTCATCCATCGATTATATCAACTCATCGATGCACTTCAATCTTGTCTCTCAACATTTTTATCATTTTTTTAGATAACCATGGGAATAACTTTTGCTCATTTGCACTGGGAGATAAATTTAGAAAAGTAAATGCATTTGTTTGCAACCACCAATTGTTGTTTTTAGCAAATTAGATAAATTAGAAAACATTAAAAAATATTTTTTTAAGTA